TGCGCTCAAGTCGATCGGCATCAAGGGAGCGGCTCAGCGTGGTCTCCTGTCCACCCTTGCCGGTCTGCTGAAGCTTGGTAATGCCACTGGCTTTTTGGTTGACCAGGAAGATCTTGAGGAAGCATGTGACGAAGTGGGTGGTCTGCTCGGGTTGGATCCGGAAGTTCTGCTGCACAGTTGCTCCACTAATGATCGCGAGGTGCTGATCTCGGGGATTTACGAGGCACTGGTTGACTGGGTGATCGAAAAGGCCAACGAGGCCATTTCCAGCGAGCTTCAAGCGATTCTCGACAACGACCCCAGCACCAGTGGTGGCTCTGGTCCTGGCGGCCAGTGGACTGATGATGACACGGTCAGCATTTCTGTGGTGGATATTCCCAGACCTGCTCTAGGAAAAGCTGTGGCAGTTCGCAACGTGTTCGATGACAATACTGGTATCAACGCGGAAATGAAGGAGGATGGCGTCACTGTTCCTCCTGTAGGACATGCCATTGCAAACGATGTTTCCTCTGCGGTAGCCCAGGTTGAGGCGGACCTCGGAATCACCACGGGTTCTGCTTGGCACGAACGCGAGTATGAACTCGGCAAGCGACAAGAAGTGCTGGAGAAGGTTGGGCTGGAAGTCGACATGGACTCCTTCCTCCGAAAACTTTTGCTCCCTGTTGAATCCGAAGGTATCACGGTTGGGAAGCGGGGCCGGTTTGATCTTCCCACCACGCTGGGAAGTAGCAGGGTCTGGCACCATATCTCCGTCCACCCGACTGATGATCTGCCCGAGACACTCAACACCTTCTCGCCGACGGCCGCCTGGTCAGCCGGAGTCGTGTCCCGGCAATTGCGGGAATGGAGACTTGCTGAATGGGCCAACCGACGCCTCAGGCAGATTGACTTTACGGCCGACTTCGACATGGATGAGTTCGTCGGCCGTTATTGCCGTCTCGGATGCGCTGAGGGTCGGGATGGTGTTGAGAGTTGGTTGATGGAGAGAGGCTGGACCAACGGAGATGCCTTCGTGGGTCACCAGCGAATCTGGATGAGAGAAAGTGCATGGTGGGAAGCTGAAACAATGCTTGACATGAAACCAGACGAGCCCGCGACGGCCAACCCTTTCCTATACGGGAACACCATGCTCGATGCCGGGATGCCCCATTATGCGGGAACTCCTATGGCAGAATCCACCAGCCTTCTGGGCAGTCGAGACGACCTTCTCAACCACCGCCAGAGCACGTTGGCGCCCAGCTTCCATGGAGGCGCCAAATCAATCGCGCCAAGTGTCCCCCAGACTCTAAACATGGGTGGCGATTATGGTCTCGGCTCGAAGGGTGATACTAGGAAGTGGGACAATCCGTATTCTGACGAATACGCCCATTATAACAACGGCGAGCTCGACCCTGAAGTCGGCGACCCCAAACACATTGAAAAGAAGCCCATTACTCAGGGCCGACGCATCTGGGTCGGATTTGTCTGGGCGTTGACTTTCTGGATTCCATCATTCGCTCTGCGCTGGTTTGGCCGGATGAAGCGTCCCGATGTCCGGATGGCCTGGCGCGAGAAGCTCGTTCTGATGCTTATCATTCTGCTGTTCAACGGTGTGGTTTGCTTTTACATTATTGCCTTTGGTGATCTGCTCTGCCCGAACAAGGACAAGGCTTGGAATGAGAAGCAACTAAGTTGGCATGCTCTCGACAACGATTTCTATGTCAGTATTCATGGAAACGTCTACGACATTACCAAGTTCTGGAGACTTCAGCACAGTGATTCTTCGATTGAAACGACAACGAGCAACATGAAGCCATTCGCGGGTGAGATTCTGGATCAGTATTTCACTCCTCCGTTGACTCGCTTCTGCTCGCCATACGTGACGGAGCAGTCAGTCACTCTGCAGTTTAACAACACCAATGCCCTCGAGTATCCCAACGCAGAGCACTACTGTGGATCTTATCACACCCCCAGTACCACCACCAAGCTGCACAACATCACTTGGTATGAGGACATCTTTTTACCCAAGATCAAGACCTATTACAAGGGTCCCCTTGTTTGGTCGAAGAGCACCGTACAAAAACAAGCAACGGATAGTTCACGGTATTGGGTCATCGTTCACGACAAAATCTATGACCTTACGGACTACTTCTATACCGCCGAATTGTTCGATAATGACGACACTTACGCCTTCCTACCGTCGAGCGTAACCGACTTGTTCAAGAATTATGCGGGTGAGGATGTTACCGACAAATGGCAAAACACAACAGACTTCCAGCAGTCACAGACGTGTCTTGACTATGTCTTCTATAAAGGCAAAGTAGATTTCCGTGACAGCCCCCGCTGTACGGTTAACAACTGGATTCTTCTCTCGTTCACGGTTCTCATCTGCGCTGTTATCCTCGTTAAATTTGTTAGTGCCCTTCAACTTGGCTCCAAGCGTCGTCCTGCACCACAGGATAAGTTCGTTATCTGCCATGTGCCGGCGTACACAGAAGGTGAGGATGCGCTGCGTAAAGGTCTCGACTCCCTCACGGCTCTTCAGTACGACAACAAGAGGAAGCTCATCTTCGTCATTTGCGACGGTATGATTGTTGGTGGCGGAAATGATCGTCCTACGCCTAAGATTGTTCTCGATATTCTGGGAGTCGACCCGAAGGTTGATCCCCCGGCGTTGCCGTGCAAGGCCATTGGCCAGGGTAGCGAGCAGCTGAACTACGGCAAAGTGTATTCTGGTCTTTACGAGTATGAGGGTAACGTGGTCCCGTATATTGTCGTTGTCAAGGTCGGCAAGGAGTCGGAGCAGAGTCGGCCCAAACCTGGAAACAGGGGTAAGCGTGACTCGCAGATCATGATGATGCAGTTCCTCAATCGGGTACACCATCGTTCACCTATGTCGCCGCTGGAGCTAGAGATTTTCCACCAAATCAACAATGTCATCGGTGTCGACCCTGAGCTCTACGAATACTGTCTGATGGTGGACGCCGATACCAGTGTCCGAGAAGATTCACTCAACCGTCTGGTTGCCGCTTGTGCCAACGATGCACGCATTGCTGGTATTTGTGGTGAGACCAGTCTGCAGAATGAAGAGCGAAGTTGGTGGACGATGATTCAGGTGTATGAGTACTATATTTCACATCACCTGGCCAAGGCGTTCGAGTCGCTTTTCGGTAGTGTCACATGTCTTCCCGGATGGTAGGTTGATTCAATCCTTCGACAAGTTCATTTACTAACAGGAACAGTTTCTGCATGTACCGTCTGCGGACCGCCGACAAGGGCAAGCCTCTGATCATCTCTGACAAGGTTATAGAGGAGTATGCAGACAATGATGTTGATACTCTTCATAAGAAGAACCTCCTGTCGCTTGGTGAGGATCGTTTCCTGACTACGCTTATGACGAAGCACTTCCCGGAGATGTCCTACAAGTTCATTCCGGATGCGTACGCCAGTACGGCCGCGCCAGAGACCTGGTCGGTCTTGCTATCGCAGCGTCGGCGTTGGATCAACTCAACCGTGCACAACCTGGTGGAAGTGGCCATGCTGAAAGATATGTGCGGATTCTGCTTGTTCAGTATGCGATTCGTCGTGTTGGTTGATCTTCTCGGAACGGTCATTCTGCCTGCGACTTGTGTCTACCTGGGCTACCTGATCTACCGCGTTGCCAGTCATACCGGTCCCTTCCCTATGATTTCGATTGTCATCCTGGCAGGTGTGTATGGTCTCCAGGCGATCATCTTCCTTCTGAAACGGCAGTGGCAGCACATTGGCTGGATGATCATCTACATTTTAGCCTATCCTATCTACAACTTCATTCTCCCGCTCTATTCGTTCTGGAAGCAGGACGACTTCAGTTGGGGTAGCACGCGTATTGTCATTGGAGAACAGGGCAACAAGCGCGTGGTGGCAGTGGACGACGAGGGCTTCGACCCGCGTAGCGTGCCGCTACAGCGCTGGGATGACTACGCGCTGGCCAACAACCTGCCAGGACGGCGCGGTGACTTTGGTATGAGCCAGGAGAAGATGTACAGTGGCCGTTATGATGACATGGCGCTGGAGATGGATGACATGCACTCGAACTATTCTTCGGTGAAGCCGGCATCGACGATCCTGACTGGGTTCCCGCATCACCAGGGCCGCCACGGCAGCCCGTACATGCCGCCGCAGTCGCCAGCACCATTTGCCAACACCCCGGGTAACCGCAACTCGCACATGTCGAGTCTTACGCGATACACGGATCAGCCGTTTGCCAGTGGACATATGGCGTCACGGTCGGTGGGCAATCTGAGTGTGCCGGATGGATTGACGAACCGCCACAGCGTGGGGCTGATGCAAAGCACGGAGAACCTGCTCGGGCGGCCCAACTCGCGCAGTCCCGTAGGTGGGATATCGCGACCTGTGAGTGCGTTCGACTTCCGGGGAAGCGGCGGGCCCGACGAGGGGTCGATCACCGAGGCGATCCGCGCCTGTTTGGCGGAGGTAGATCTGGATACGGTGACGAAGAAGCAGGGTGAGTTATGTTCCACAGAGGTGAAAGGATAAGATGCTAACAAACAGAAACAGTGCGTGCATTAGTTGAGCAGCGACTACAAACGACGTTGATAGGCGACAAGCGGGCGTTCCTCGACCGACAAATCGACCACGAGCTGGCCAATATGTAAAAAGTCGACGTGAGGAAGAGACGGGATGTAATGGATGTAATTGATTTTGTTTTCCAGTGTATACGCGAGCATACATAGCTATCATTTAGCAGTATATGAGTTTCGGGCGGGCGTTAGCGTGGGCAACATTCATTGATGTGTAAAAATTGAATATGCATTATCAGCGTTATGTATACAATGTTAACTTGGTTGCATTTGTTGAATGACAGACAGACAGATAGACAGATAAATAGATGCATTAGCGCAGCACATGTTGCATGGAACAATTCCAGAGGGGGAGGGACACCGGAGCTAAGTAATCCTCTTCCGCACAAAAGAACCATTCATAAGTAACCTTCCCTCTTCCTTAACTCATGGGACCCCCACAAACCCACCCACCCCTCATTCATCTATCCATCCATTCAACCCCCCTCTTATCTATCTATCTATCTATCTATCTATCTATCAGATAAACATCTCCACATCAACAACCACCTCTATACTATACTGCCCCCCTCCTCAACCACAAACCCCTCTTTAAATTATAAGAATAACATGCCTCCCCCCGAGAAAAGCAAAGAAACCCTAGAAGCCAAATCGGCCTTCAGCGCGACGCTCCTCAACATCGGCAGCACACATGCCAGCCCGCTCGTGGAGCGCGCACACACCATCACAGAGAATGCCGCAGCGCTGGACAAGCAGCAAGCAGAGCTAGAAGCACATACAGCAGCGCTGGCGAAGCAGAATGAGAGCTGGGATAAGTTGGCGGGGGAGGCACGGGACGGGTTGAAGGAGATTGGGGACGTGCAGAATTGGGCGGAGGTGGTGGAAAGGGAGTTGTTGGTGTTGGAGGAGATGATGGGGTATGTGGAGAGTAAGGGAGATCATGATGGTGGTGATGGTGGGGAGGGGGTGGAGGGGGATGGGATGAATGGAGGTATTATTGATGATAGGAATGGGGTTGGGAAGGGGAAGGGGAGTGCTAATACTAGTACTGTTGATGGCGATGGTGATGATGGAGGTACTACTAGTGGTAGTAGCGGAAGTGGGAGTAAGACAGGAGCATCATCGTGGTTTAAGTGGTGGTAGGAGGAACTTTTCATGTGTATACGAGATATGTTTACTTGGATATTACTACTATTTGGGACGAGGGGAATATTCATTGCCCACAGAGATACTTTATACAGCCTTCATATCCTTCAAGAAAGAAAAAGGTATACTGCCATATAAATGGACATCAAGAAATGGTTTCTTATGAGCACTACTATTTTAAGAGCTATAACTATAGAATGTTGTGCTAGAACCGAAGGATCAAAGAAATAGTAGATACACACTTTCCTGAACAATAATCCTTATATCAATTACAAAACAAAGGAACTTACATCTATTTCTCCCCAGAGCTCCAAGCAAACACCCCTTGAATAAAAACTTCTATCCCAATATCAATCCAATCGAACAAACTATCTTGTCCATCGCCAACTCCCAATGCTGCCCCCTCCACCCAAAGCGGTCAAAAAACATCCAGAATGCTGACTCAGTTTTCCGGGGCTGTGTAAAACAGATATCCGTCTATAGCCGCCTATATCCGTACTTTTCGATGCGAGGTTCGCTAGGTTCTGCCGCTTTTGGCGGTGAAATTGGCGGTCAGTGTGGGCAGTACTACATAGTAGAAGGACTGCTTGCGCTCAATGTTACCTGACATTAATGATTTATTGGTCGCGGGATCCTCGATAATATCTAATTAATCTTGGGAGATAGTAGTTATCTGGTAACGATGGAAGTATGTGCACGCCTTTAGGTCTATTTCCTTGATCACTAACCACTACACAACACTCATCCTTCCATGGAATGCTCCATCTCCAACACCCCATCTAATTACCTCATCTTATGTCCCTCTGCATCTCACATCAAAGAGGAACCACTCCACGATCTAGATCTGCAATAGCAGAGCAAAACCTCTCCAACAAATCCTCAATATCTTCCAAACTTCCCAGCCGACTAGAAATGTCAAGGTACACAATCAGTTGATTCTGATCCTGCAAAGGAACCGTGACTACATGAAACTGGGGCACGTCGCCTATGACCCGAGTCTTCAAAGTACATTCAACTCCCTGGAATGTGTAGTTCGATCTGTGGGCGCCATTTTGATGCGTTAAAAGACTGCCGAAGGATACATTCGCGGGCCATGACGTCGAGTGTTGGCGAATGGTCTCAAAGTCAATGCCCGCATATGGCAAGGTCTGCGTGTATTGGTGCTGTACATGATACAATAAATCGAGGACTTGGTTATTGGAAGAAGACGAGGGGATGGTTATGCGAATTGGGGAGACAGTAACGCATGGCCCAGACATAACATGGATGCTGGCGACGGGCATGTCGCGTCCGTTTAGGACGTGACCGAACACAAGATCCCGTTGGCTGGTGACTTGAGCTAAAACCACGGCCCAGGCGGCGTTTATGAAAGATGACATCGTGACTCCGCGGGGTGGTGTAGGCAGAGGAATAGTTCGACGGACATTGAGGGGAAGGTGGCTGTCTGATCCCGAGAGGTTGAGAGTGGTCATCGCAGCATCCCGCAGATACTGCTTCCAGAATTTATATGTGCGTGGGTTTGCCTGTATCTGGCGGTGCCGCAAGTACAGCGCAAAAGACGGCGGAGTGACCTTGTCGAGTTGCCCTGTCTCATATACCGAAATTAGATCCTGAATTATCAGGGGCATCGATTCTCCATCGAATTGAGCATGGCTACCGCGCATGATTAGAACTGAATTCGACGGAGATTGCGAGACAAGCAGAGTTTGGAAGTATGAGGTTCCCCAAGCGACCCCGGCCGAGGCGTTTTCCACACAAAGACGCTCAATACAAGCGTCAAAGTCCTCATCACACGATACTTGGATGAAGTCAAACCTGAGGCGCCGGAACAATACCTGTACATAACCCTCTTGATAGGGCAGAAACGCAGACCGAAGCATGGGGTGCTTGTCTACGACGGCGCGGCACGCCTTCTCTAAGCGTTCCGCATCCATCTCCACCGGCAGGTGCAGCTGTATGTAATGGATCTGCTGGTGCTCCAGGAACTGACGCTGAAATTCTGTTGTGGGAAGAATATCTTCGACCTCCAAGCCTGTAAACCATCCAGAGACTGAGGTATTGAAGGGATAATCTAATTCGCGTGTGGCAAACGTTTGCAGGTCTGCGGTTTTAATATTGAGTAGTGACCCCGGATGGTAGGCCTCTACATCCACTAGGCCTATGCTATGCTCCCGTGCACCGCGAGCCTGCTCTTCAAGCACTGGCCACGCAAAGATGTCAGACACATTCAGACTCAACCCTTCTCTTCGTAGCAGACTAACCATTCTCATGGCCTGGATGGAGTCGCCGCCCGATTCGAAAAAGTCATCTTTGATTCCAATCCTATTCAGCGGGACCTTCAAAACCGTGGCCCAAAGCTGCTGAAACAAGCGCTCCCGCGCCGTCTGAGGAGGATACGAGGTGCTTGATATCCCTTCCGCTCCCGCCGACAAGGCCCGGATTTGATCGTTGGAAAGGCGGGAGGTTTGATCACGAAGTTGTCGTCGGTCCAATTTATCGCTTCTTGTTCGAAGGACATGCGCCAGACGTAAAAACATGGCAGGAACCATATATGCAGGCAAGAGAGATTGTAGGCGAGCGGTAGCTGCCTCAACTTGCCTCCGGAACGATGTGCAGCTTCTGAGAAACAAGCCGCTGTCATGATAAGCATCGCTTTGATCATTTGCATATTTACCGCCATCAGACAGCGTCAGAGCGATGAATGCGATCAGTGTAGGGTTTCCTCCTTCGCGCAGGACAATTTCGGCGATGACCTCTGCTGCCTCCGGGAAGCACTGTCGTACATGGTATTCGACATGTGCTAGCTCAATGCGCTGACCACGCAACTTGATTTGGGTGTCTTTTCGACCTAAAAAACGAATCCCTCCGTCGTCGGTATAGTGTACCAAGTCTCCGGTGCGATAGAGACGACCTGGCCTTTCTTTACCCCGGAATCGAGTCAACCAACCCGGCGGACTGATATAGGCTGCGGTGGTTCGTTCTGGATCATCTAGATAGCCACGGGTGACAACCGGACCTTCGATCACCAACTCCCCTACAGCACCCACGGGAGCAAGACGAGACACATCCGACGGCATAGTGACCCATCCAACACCTCCAATAACGGGCCCTATCGTGCCGGCGGTCCAAGAACAGGGGTTAACATCGCCAACAGCACAGATCGTTGCTTCTGCAGGTCCATATGCATTGATCAACCTGCGATTTGGTGACCAGCGGTCGACAATATCCTGGGTCACTGCCTCACCCCCAAAGGCAATTGTATCAAGCCTTGGAACTAGCTCCGGTCGCACCAGGCGATCTATGACCGAAGGCGTCAATAGTGCAAAATTAACCTGCGCCTCGCGGATGAATCCAGCCAGATTGCCAAGACGGTCCGAATCAGATGGAATACAGACACAGCCGCCGTTGGCTAACACAGAGAACAGTTCATAGATACTGGCGTCAAAGGCGTAAGAGGCAAAATGCAGCGCGCGAGTCGAAGAATTAATGCGCATCGGCGGGCTGTGATGTCGAATTCCTGTACAGAGATCAACGTGCTCTATGAGGATTCCCTTTGGTTCACCCGTGCTGCCAGATGTGAAGATGACGAATGCAACATCATGGCAGGAGGGCGCTGGCCAGGATTCAGTGGTTGCTTGTGCTGCCACTCCCTGTAAGGGTATGGTTGCGATCCTAGCATCACACTTTCCACGGAATAGTTGACGAGTTTTGTGGGACGCCAGAATGAGCTTAGCGTTTGTACGGCGAACAATGTTCTGAAGATGATGAGGAGGGTGTCCTGGATCTAAAGGCACACATGCACCGCCAGCTCGCAGAACAGCCAACATGGCGATAGCGGTCCATTTGGACTTTTCGAAGCACAGTGGCACCAGAGCGCCAGGATGCACACCAAGAACGCGCAGCTGATTAGCGAGTTGTCCGGAGAGGGCCATCAGCTGCGCATACGTGAGATTCCCATCCCATGCACAGATGGCCGCCGAATCAGGGGCTACAGTGGCATGTGCGCGCACGAGATCGTGCAGACACACATCTAAAGGCGATGGAAGCTCACGATTCCATGCAGATAGCTGATTCTTGTCGTCAGGACTAAGAAGATTAAGTTGATTTAGCGGGGTTTGCATATTCTTAGGGAGCTGTTGAAGTATGTGGGAGAATTGTCCTACAATTCTCTTGGCCATCGCAGACGATATAGCCTGTGGGTCATAATTCACAATCACCTGCATGGAGGATGTATCCTCGTCATTCAGACGGCAGACCATCACGAAGGCATACTCTGCAAGTGCGCCGTAGTCCTCACGGCCATCTCGTAACTCTGCAAACAGACTAGATGCTTTCTGTGATGGAGGCGCGGCTTGGATGGCCAAATAGGATTGGAACTGGCACGCCCGTACGGCCTCCGGACTTGTAGTCCGGATATTCTGTAACCCAAAATGCTGGAAGGGTATTCGATCTGCCGCCTGCTGCTGGATCTTAGACAAAGCGTCCTCTACCGTGTCGCAGTCAAGCCCTAATTGAATACGTAGCGGGAAGCTGCTGAAGGTGGGCCCGGTCATATCCTCAATACCGGTCAACGGCGTACCGCGTCCGTTTAGAGTGACGCCATAGACAAGATCATCAGAGTCGGTCTGATATGACATGACCATGGCCCAGGCCAGATGGATGAATGTTGTGGTGGTATATTCTAAGTCACCGCCGCGAAGGCCGGTAATGGTCTGATGTAGGGAGGCGTCTGCCACTGGTGCATAGCGTGCTGAAGGCAATGTAGGCCAGACAGGAGCAGACAGGTCAGAGAATTCATTGCGCCAATACTCAGCTGCTACGTTGGCTTGAAACTGGACATATTCAATGAATTGATTGAAGGGAGGTGGAGGTGGCATGCTCTTATGTCGGTAGTGCGCCTCTACCTGTGTCCACAGAGATGGGAGTGTCCACCCATCATACACGGCGTGATGCATTGTCAGGTAAAATTGTACGGCGTCCGAATCATGCGAACAGATCAATGAGAAATCAACCAATGCATTACCAAGCGTCATTTGACAATCACGGATGTGTTCATCGCAATCTTCCTGGCTTTCGAAAATGTGGAAATGGGGTGAATCGAACAGAACCACCTGAAACGTGCCGGGGTGATCGTCTGATTGTATCGTGCGCGTCCGAAGAATGGGATTGATCGCAGCGATGGCAACCCAGGAGGTTTGAAATTGTTCGAGCTCGACCTGAGTCTCAAGCTGGTACCGGAAAGTCACCTTGTAACGGTCGGTGATTTTATTGGACAAGGCCATGAGGCCTTCCTGCAGTGGCGTGCAGGGATAGATATCCTCGATTTGATGAGGATATATGCCACAGCGCTCTGCTGCGGTATCTATAAAGTCTCTCGAATTCTCGATCAGCGCGAACGGCGCCAGCGCCAACGAGGCCACTGCTATCCCAGGGGTTGACCTTGCGACCCGCGCTAAGTCGCCGAGCCTGGGGTTGTTGAATATATTGGCCATGGTAATACGATAGCCCACTTCTCGAGCCGCGGGAATCATACCCATGGCGCGAATCGAGTCTCCGCCCAGGCGGAAAAAGTCGTCTTCTAAACCAATTGTACTCTTAGGGCGGTTCAATATGTCAGACCAGATCTGCTGTAGGCATTGTTCCACCGGCGTGGACGGCTTGGTGCGGGTAGTGGCCGGAACAGAGTAGGCCTGCAAGTCCGCAAGGGTGAATGTGCTCACAGCGTCTCGGAGTCGATGGCGGTCCAACTTGCCATTAGTTGTCAGGGGCACGTGCTGCAATGGTAGATACAATGTTGGTACCATATAAATTGGCACGCGCGTACGAAGCTGCGTCTCCGCAGCTTGAGCACAAGAGCGAAATGAATCAGTAGCAGGTGCAATTAGCGAGTCTTTATCATATTCAGCCGAGGTGGAGGCATGGTGAAGGCGAATAAATGCCACTAATAGCTTTCTGTCCTTGCCGGTGGTAGCTACTTCTGCAACAGTGTCCTGGGCTTGATCGAAGACTTGACGAAGGTGATGCTCCACCTCGGCCAGCTCGAACCGCTGCCCGCGCAGCTTGACTTGAAGATCCTTGCGGCCAACGAACTGGAGCGTACCATCCGCTCCATATTGCGCCAAATCACCAGTTCTGTATATACGGCTCGGTTTCCCATCCAGCCAGGGCCGGGGACCGTCGAGAAAAACCGCCAGAGTGCTTGTGATATCGTTAAGGTAGCCTCGAGCGATGTTGGGACCTTCAATCACCACTTCACCCACGGCGCCGATAGGGGCAAGAAGATCTACGCATCCAGCGTCAACAATCCACATGCGACAGCCAAATGGTCGTCCCAAGCTGCGAGGGTTGGAGCCAGGGCGCAATCTATCCATTGTGCCGGAGCACCATACGCTACATTCCGTCGGACCGTATCCAAGAACCAGATTCAACCTTGGGGACCATATCTGCACCTCCTTGCTACTCACTGCTTCTCCTCCAACGAAGAGGGTGCGCAGCGTCGGGAATTCGGCCGGCCGCAAGGAACGCACCACCGATGGGGTCAGGAAGGCCCAGTTCGCCTGTAACTCATATGTGGCTTGGGACAATGCTTGTTGACGCTGTTCTTCCGAGGGAATGCATACGCAGCCGCCCTGGACCAAAGTTGTGAGTATCTCACCGATTGAACCATCAAAGGCGAATGACGCGAATTGCAAAACGCGGGACTGAGGGCCAATGTGCAACGTCCCAGCCTGGTTGACGGCGGAGGTGGCAAAGGCCCGATGTTGGACGATCACCCCTTTTGGCTGTCCCGTTGACCCGGAGGTGAAAATGCCGTATAGCGCATTGTCTGGGGTCAGCTCAGGGGCCATGTCTGACCCTGCATGCACATAGCCGCTACTGCCTTCCGCTTCCCAAGATTCTTCACCAAAGGTCGCCACCCGACTTACCAACTCGGCCGCTATTTCCTGACTATGAGGGGGTGCTAATATCACAGTAGCCCGAGCGCTGGTGCAGATGGTTTGTAGCCGGGGCAGTGGATGGCTGGGGTCCAAGAGGATGAAGGCGCCGCCGGCTCGAATCACTGCTGTGATTGCCACGGCGACCCAGCGGGACTTGATAGCGTAGATTGGAACGAAAACCTCGGGGCCCACGCCATAACAGTCACGAAGTTCACGGCCCAGTCGAGCTGATTGTGCCTCCAATTCTGCATAGGTAAAATCGCCATCCCAGGCGCAGACGGCTGGAGAGGCAGGCTTTGTGCGGCAGTTGTCCAGGATCATGTCGCCGATGCATCGCTCTACAGGCTGCGGGATCTTCTGATTCCATCTCCGTATGGTCTCGTAAGACCTTCCACCAAGAAGTGGGACTGACCGAGCCGGTTGGTCGCTGAAGTCCACAATACCCTGCACTGCTTGCTCGAAAGCATCGAGGACGAATGCTGCCTGGTCATTGGTAAGTAACCCACATCTAAAATCTATGACTATGTGGACGTCGTCTACATCAATTCCAATATTGACCGCCAGATCGTACTATGGATGTGTCACTAACGATCAGCCTACTTGTCCCGACGGAGCATTTGATAATGAATGAGCAGAAATGAAATACCTCTGTTGGAACGTCCCCACTTTGATTGTCAATAATCAGCGAGGAGTGTGGAAGTGCAAGTCTCGTCATGAACGGCTGAACCGACATAATAGAGTTGAAAAGGTTGTGCGTATTCTTGTGCATGACTTGGGCAAGTGACAGATATTGGAAGCGTAGACTGTGCGCAAAGTCTGACTGGCATTTTCGCAGTAGTTGGAGTGTGCTGGACTTCCCACAGAAATTCAGCCGCTGTACTAGCATATTGAAAAAAGGTCCTACTGCATCCTCAATGCCACCGATTGGCGTATCGCGGCCAGACGTCATATAGCCGTAGCATACGTCCTCGGTGCACGCGTATGCTCGGAGGACCAGCCCCCATGCCAGCTGGAAGACTGAAGCCATTGTTAGCCCGTTTATTTGGCAGAATTTACGGAGGGACGAAATTCCGCGTAACGAGCGGTTCACTCGGCCGATTCCTTCAGTTGGAATGCTTTCACTGCCACCCTTTAGGTTGGGGAAAATGCACGGCTCAAGGTTGTCCATGTATTTATCCCAGTAGATGCGGGCCGGCCGTAATGGCTGTTGCTGTAGATATAAAACGTATTCTCTGTATACATGATCCGGTTCTGGAGGCAGCATACCGTCGTATGCTAATAGGAGGTCACGAAGAATGATCTGGCGCGAATTGCCGTCCACCAGGGCATGGCTGACCTCAAGTGCGCAGCTTACCGAGCCTGTAGAAGCCTGCCAGACCGTTAACCGGTGCGTTGGATGCAACTCTGGCAGAGGAGAAAGCTCCCAATGACTTGAGACTTGTACCAGGCTCTCTGTCTTTGTTAGAACGGGACTGACAGTAGTCGGTGGTACATTCTCAACAACGACCTGGTCAATACTACCGTCCCCTCGCAGACTGTCCACAAATACAGTGCGAAGTAGCCGGTGCCTTTCTACAACGTGCTCCCACGCCCGTATGAGCCGGTCGACCATGATAGAGCTCTCATCTTGGGCCTGCATCCTCCATACTAGGCGGCTTGTATAGTTCTGTGAATTCTTCGCCTGACTTAGCAGCATGCCAAGTTGAATGGGCGAACAGGGATATGCATCCTCCACTTCCCTTCCAGCGAGAGCGACATGGTTGAGTAAATGGGTCTGGAACTCAGAAAATTGACTGTCAGTCAATCGTAGTAGAGGCACATCAGATCGAGTCAGACGAGCAGGCATAGTGGGAAGCCGCTGGGACAAGATTGACAGGGCCTCCCGAGAGTTTTCTGCCCATTTAATGATCCTCTCTGCGTGCTTCATACGCCGATTGTACATGAATTGAATGATTAATCTTCCGTCTGTCACTTCGGCAAGGATGTCAATAAGAGCAAAGCGCCCTACATGTGGTCCCTGATTAACAAGCTCCGAAATTGACGACGAAGTCCGCTTGAAGAGTGAATTGGATCTTTTGCCTATCTCTAGAGCACCGACATAGTTGAAGAGGATTTCCAGCGCAGACTCTCGACCGTGACGCGCTGCCAAAAAGAATCGCCCAAGGTCCTGGACATCGCGTCGACCATCCTTAGTGCGACGTACCACGTCTATTAGGTCTGTATTGGGGTCTAGAGGCACATGGCAGGGCCAGATGTTCGTAAACCAGCCAACGGTGCCTGTCACGTCAATATCTTCTGTCCATGCATCGCGTCCGTGGGCTTCGTTGAAGACAGTTGGGGTCGGTCTGTCCGGGAATGTCCTTACGAACGCATGCATCAGCGCCGCCTGCAGCAATTCGACCGGTCTTGTGCGAAATGCTTCATTGGCAGGCCCCAGCAGGTGACTAGTATCCTGGTAGTTGAGCCTTATTTTGTAGAGGTTGGCGTCAGCGTAAACATTGCTGGTTTCAGGAAGCTCCCAATAATCCATAAGCGCCAAGGGAGCAGCGCAGTCTCCTATCTTCGGATCAGAGGCTATATGCTCCTCTTGAAGTCGGCTCCATCTAAGAAAGGACATCGTGCTTGTTGGGGTGACAGGCTTTGATTCTAAAAGCCGCTCCAGCTGGTCCAAGATAGTCTGCCAAGATACGATATCGACAACGAGATGGTGGGCAATTATGGACAGCCATTGTTTCTCTCCGTGGATGCTCATCAAGTCCACAGCAAGCAAAGGCCCATTTTCGATGCTTAGTAGCTTCTGGTGTTCCATAAAAATGGTTTCGGCCTCTCTCTGTGTCATATTCACGTGTTGCTCATACCGGTAAGAAGTGTCCACGTCCTTGGTGATAGTTTGATACCAGCCCCCTACTGAATGACGGGAGAATCGCGCCCGCAGCATGGGATGAGAGCGTACTATGTATTGTATGACCTGCTTTACCTTGTCAGCCTGCACTGGTCGCTGGAGCTCAAAGAGAAAGCTCTGGTTGAAATGGTCATAGTGCACCGGGACTCTATCCAGAAACAGCTGTTGGATTGGTGATAGGCGAAATGGAGTATCGCAGGGCTCTTCCTGCCCGCAATCAGATGGGCTGATGACATCACTCATGGCTGTTGTAGCTATCTTGGCAATCGTGCTGCGTTGAAAAATGCACTCGACGGTGGTGCGAATCCCAGCGTTTTTCAATTGGGAGACAATCTGCATCGCACTGATCGAGTCTCCGCCGAGATGAAAGAAATTGTCGTCAACGCCAACCATCTCGAGGCTCTTATTCAAAACATGGGCCCAGATGGCTTGGATAGCCTTTTCTCGTGCATTCGATGGTTGCCGGTGGCTGCGTTGTGCTGCGGCCGTGTATCGCTGAATTATAGAGGGCCAAAGACCTTCGACAGCCTTGCGGAGAGCATTGCGGTCTATCTTGCCCCCAGTTGTCTGAGGAGCCTTGGAGATGGGAAAAAACACGGATGGAACCATATATTCAGGTATAGCATCACGAAGAGACACCTCGGCGACCTGCATGGCCCTTTGGAAGGCGCCTGTGGGAGGAAGGAAGAGTCCGTCTTCGGCCTTCCCGCCGGCCATGCCCTGAACAACACAGGCAAATAAGATCGGCGAGCCGTCTATATTCACAATGTCGACAATCGCATCGAAACCTCCGATGCACCTACGCACATGATATTCGACTTCAGCTAACTCAATACGCTGTCCGCGCAGCTTAATCTGCGTGTCTTTGCGACCGATAAACCGAACTGTCCCCTCAGTAGTAAGCTCGACAAGGTCACCAGAGCGATAGAGGCGGCCTGGGCGGCCATTTCGGAAACGAGTGAGCCATTCTGGGGCGTCGATATACCCTGCCCGCGTGAGCTCGGGACTGTTCAAGTATCCTCTTGTGACAATTGGCCCTTCAATGATGAGCTCGCCCACTGCACCGAGAGGGACTAATTGGGTGGGATCAGAAGGAGCAGCCACCCATGCTGCTCCGCCTAGGACAGGGCCAACGGTCCCTGGCGTCCAAACTCCCTCGATGACTGGCCCTGCCGCGCATATAATCGTCTCAGCCGGGCCATAAGCATTGATGAGTGCTACACGAGATGCCCACCGACTAGCAACGTGCCGTGTCAGCGCTTCGCCTCCTGATATGATAGTCTTCAAACTGGGTACCTGATCCGGATCCAGTATGGCAAGCATCGATGGGGTCAAGAGGGCAACGTTGACTTGCTTGTCTGCAATGAATTGTTCAATTGCGTTCATCCGCTCAGACTCAGACGGTATACAGACGCATCCTCCGGTGACGAGGGTTGTGAATATCTCATAAATGCTAGCATCAAAGGCATATGACGCAAAATGAAGCATCCGGCTATTCTGGGTAATGTTCAACGCCTCGCGGTGATATTGAATGCTTGTTGACAAGTTCCGATGTTCCATCACTATACCCTTTGGCCGTCCGGTTGATCCGGACGTGAAGACTATAAATGCTGGGGAGCTGGGGCTCACCGAGGCCTTTTCAGCAGAACCTGAACCGAGCGCAGGCACTTGCATTGGAAAGGGCACCGTCAATACTGTGGCAACAGATTGTCCCTTGAACTTCCCCTCGGTCTCTTTTGAGCAGATAACCAGTTGAGGCCTAATCTGATCCATAATACTCTGCAGCCGTTCAATTGGAAGCATAGGGTCAATGCACGTAGCAGTTGCTCCAGATCGCAAGATTGCGACCATGCATACGACCGACCATCTTGATTTCTCCAAACAAATAGGCACAACAGAGCCCTCCTGAAGACCGCTGCTCCAAAGTACCTGTGATAGCGTAAGAGAGGAGGAAGCTAGTTGTTCAAACGTCAAGTCTCCATCCCAAGCACAAACCGCTAGTGCGGATGAACGGGAAATTTCATGGCCAAGGACCAAATCATGTAAACAACTCTCTGATGACGGTGGTAGTGTAGCATTCCAGCGTGTCATTTGTTCCCAATCAGGATCACTAATTGCTGAGAGACGTCGTAGAGACATGCCCGGGTGAGAGACGATTTGGTCGAGAATGTGCTCGAACTGCATGACAATCCTCTGGACTTGGTCAACACCCAACATGCCTGGGTCATACTGGGCAACAATATCCAGATGATCATGCGCTTCCGGGTCTAATTGGCAGATAAGAACAAAACCGTAGCTTGCGAATTCCCCGTAGTCCAGGTGCTCGCTTTGAACCTGGGTCGCCAAGGTGCCGTGGCTAGACTTGGGCAGTGAAATAATTCCCAAATGGCTCTGGAACTGGCATGCCTTGTCTGCATCACTGCTAAGTGAACGAATATTGCGCAATCCTGTCTGCTCGTGGGCCGTCATAGCTGTCAGCTGCTTCTGGATCTGGTACGCCTCATCCTGTACAGACCGATCGAAGTCTAACTTGATGCGCAGTGGAATAGTTGCCACAGTCGGCCCTGTAAGTTGGTCAATGCCATGCAAGGCTGCGGCGCGCCCGCTGACTGTTAGACCAAATACGACATCAAGCGAGTCCGTATAGTACGACAGGATAATGGCCCATGCCAATTGGATAGCAGTCGGTATAGTAAAATTTAACATAACGTCTGCTGTCATGGAATGTCGTCTATGGATAGACTGGCTTGGTGTGGGCTCATAAGTCGGATATGGGAGCACTGGGAACACAGCCGCGCTGAGTTTCTCGAATTCAGACCGCCAAAATGATGCTGAGTTGTTCTGCTGCTGAAGATAATGGATGAACGGTGAAAATGGCCGGGGCTGAAGAGTTTGTCCACGGTAAGCAGCCTCGACCTGTCCCCACAGGAGAGGCAATGACCAGCCATCATAAAGGGCATGGTGAATAGTCACGACTAGACGGGGAGGATTATGGATCAAGGAAAGGCGAAGTAAGCGTACATGGGGCCCCATAGCCACCGTCGCAGCGCTTTTTTCATAATCCTGCCGCGTGCTATACCTCTCCCAGAATGGCGCCTCTCGAACCACGACCTGGAAGCTGCCTCCAGGACCCTGCGTCAGCCGTGTACGCAGGATGGGGTTTGCAGCAATAGTCGCATCCCACGCAGCTTGAAAACGATCTAGGTCGACCCCTTCCACGAGATCGTAAGACAACGTCGCGACATATTTTCCGGGACTTTTCAGTGTCAGCGCCATGAGACCCTCTTGCATTGGGGTACATGGATACATGTCCTCAATCTGGTCTCTGGCTATATTGGCCTGCGCCTGTAGCGTTGATATAATGTCCTCTTGCACCCGCAGATCCGGGGCTAGGCTGAACGGTAGTACATCGCCACTACAGATGCCGTCCACAATGCTTGTCTTCGCCGCTAGATCAATTATACGCGGGTATGTGAAAATATCACCCACTGTCAAAGAGTACCCCGACCTCTGAGCGAGCGCTACCAATTTCATGGCTGATAGAGAATCACCTCCCCTTCCAAAGAAGTCGTCCTCGACTCCGATCTGTCCCTCAGGTATCGACAGCACAACCCCGAAAAGTCGCCGTAGCTCCGCCTGGGTGTGAGTCTCTGGTTCTCGAAGGGGGGCTTTCTCTGCCATACGGAACTTATCAAGCTGTTCGCGAGACAACCGGGCTGCCTGTCTTTGCAGATCGCACCGATCCAGTTTACCTGTTGAAGAAAGAGGCAGACGACTGAGCGGGATCAGAACGGTTGGGACCATATATGACGGAAGAGCCTGTCTCATCCGGGTAAGCGCAATAGCTGCTGCCCGAGAAAAGCTTGTGTCGCTCTCCAGGATAAGACGGCTTTGATCTTGGTTCGGTGTGCGTACGACGAACCCGGCCAGAAGAGCAGCTCGCCCATCTGAGGAGGAAAGGACGTCAGCAACTGCTCCCTGAGCACCAGGAAAGCAGCGGCGTAGGTGATGTTCAACCTCTCCTATCTCCACTCGCTGTCCACGCAGCTTAACTTGCGTATCCTTGCGACCGACAAAGCTGAATTCCCCTGTATCTGTGTACTGAACGAGATCTCCGGTTCTATACAATCTGGTCATGCGGTTCCGGAAGGTGCGCATCCAGGTGGGATCCTTTACAAAGGCCTCCGCCGTAATTTCCGGATGGTTCAAGTATTCCCGCGCAATAGTCGGTCCTTCAACAAGCAGCTCTCCGACAGCGCCGACTGGGCACAGGCGATTGACATTGCGTGGATCAACAACCCATCCGACAGCCCCGCTAGTAGTACCAATATTAGCTGTCATCTGAGGGTCTCGTACGGCCTGTTGTAAGGTAACTATGACTGCGCATTCAGCTGGGCCGTAGGCATTCGTAAGCTGCAGGTAAGGGGACCACTGCTGGACATCAGCCGGGGTCATGGACACCCCACCTAGCAAGAGATGCTTCAGAGTAGGAGACGTTTGAGGGCTTAATGTGCGTGCGACAGTGGGTGTGAGCAATGCCCAATTGGCTTCGAGTTCTGTGATAGCTTTCGGAAGATTTGACAAGCGGTCATGCTCTGAAGGCACACATACACAGCCGCCAGCTACAAGCGTCGTGAGATAGTCGAATATGCTCGCATCGAACGCATGGGAAGCGAATTGCAACACCCGCGACGCATGGCTGAGATGAAGCTTGGGGTATACCGCCTGCGTCATAGTGCACCAACTTCCATGCGTTATCACAGCCCCTTTGGGCTTGCCGGTTGACCCCGAAGTAAACACAACATACATGGCGTTGTCTGGGGTAGCCGAAGTTATGTTCATAGAGCATCCAGTGGTAACTAGTTTGGTATGGTTGGGGCCGAGGATGACAATATCCAATGGCCCAAGTTGCCCAACATTAGGGGCGCTCGCTTCCGAGCAGATAACAATAGAGGCACTTAGTTCCTGACAAATTTGTTGAAGTCGGTCTTTTGGATGTGAGAAGTCGAGCAAGGTAAATGCACCGCCAGCTTTCAGGACAGCCAACATGGCGACCGTGGTCCACCACGATTTCTCGAAGTACAAGGGGACAAATGTCTCAGGGCCCACCCCCATGCGCACTAGATGCTTTGCCAAATTGTTGGCGTACGAATCAAGTTCCAGGTATGATAGCCCCCCATCCCATGAACAAACAGCGGGTGCTTCAGGCTGGGTCAGAGTACGTTGATAGATGAGCTCGTGTGCACACTGTTCGACCCGTACCGGGGGTTGGCTGTTCCACTTACGCAACGTCGCCATATCCCAACAACTGATGCTCTCAATATCTTCCACGCGGGCGTTAGGCATCTGCTGAATTTGCAGGTATATCTTTTCCAGTTGATGAGTTAGCCGTTTCATTTGCACATCGGTAACCATCAGGGGGTCGTAGGCGACTTCAAGCAAGACCGAGGTCGACGAAGGCTTAGCATTTACTGTAATACCATATGTACTGATATCTGCCGGTCGAGTGAGGTTGCGGACTTTGGAAAACATGGGCGAAGGTCGGTGTTCGCCTTCGTCTGCTTGAATGACGAAGAGACTCTGGAACTGGGTGGCAGCGCTGGGCTCAGCGCCTAGGCGACTGATGCGCTGAAGCCCGGCTTGCTCCGCGAACATCGCACGTAGCGACTGTGCCTGAATACTTTTTAAGGTCTCGATCACAGTTGCTCGAGGTTCCAAAAGTAGTCGTCTGGGAATAGTAGCGATAGTGGGCCCAGTCATCGACTCGATGCCCTCAACTGGCGCACCACGACCGGCAACAGTGACTCCAAAGACTATATCCTGACTATCTGTGTAGTGAGACAATAGAAGGGCCCACGCCATTGTGAGTCGAGTCGGTAGAGTTATTTGGTCAATGTCGGAAGCTGCTACAATGGGAATGGTATGTGTTGCCATTCCCGTCGGTTTCGGTACATAGCCAGGGGACGGCAGCTTGGGAAACTGGACTGTGTTGAGGCCCGATAGACACTCCATCCAATGGCGGTCTATCTCACTCTGACTTTGCGATGTCAAGTATCGGACAAAAGGACTAAAAGGCCTTGAGAGTAATTGCTCCCCTCTGTAGGCAGCTTCCACTTGTTGCAGCAATAATGGAAGCGCCCAGCCGTCGACCAGTGTGTGGTGAATTACCAGCGTGAAATGGCGAGGCGTCTTTGGGGTTGTTAAATCACTTAACGCCAGTCTGATCAATCGGCGCCCTAACCGCCAGGTTTTCCACTCTTCGGGGACATCATCGCTCGGGTTTCGCGTGTCCCATGGAATATTATCGCGGATGACAGCCTGGTAAAGACATGCACCTTGACCCGACACGATCCGTGTCCGCAGGATTGGGTTGGCGTCAACTGTTGCTTGCCAAGCGCGGCGGAATCGATCAACCTCGAGGTTGGCCGGAAGCTCATATTCAAAAGATATGGTGTACACGCCGGGACGTGTGACGGCCGATGAAAAGAGACCCTCCTGGAGCGGAGTGCAAGGGTATATGTCTTCAATCTCATCCTGGTTGACCTGATGCTGGCCTAGGCTTTGCACTATCTCCGTCTGCTCACTCCGATCCATACAAAGCGAGAAAGCCGGCGTCCCTTCCGACGGGAGATTGTCTATACGTGCATGCGATGCCATTTCCTCTAGCGTACCGGCTCCCCAAATCTCATCAGCTCTTAGGGTAAGCCCGTGCCAGCGCGCTACCCCAGCCAACTTCATCGCCCGGATGGAATTCCCGCCTAGGTTCCAGAAACTATCATTAATGCCAATACATCCCGCGGGCAAATGCAGCACCTCAGCCCACAGCCGTTGCATCGTTTCCTCTTTCGGATTCCGGGTCGGTGTCGTCACTGTTTTCTCCAGACCGAGCTTCAACAATTCTCGGCGGGCTTTAGAATTCCCAAGCTGTCGTAGCCTCCGCCGGTCCAGTTTGCCGCTGATACTCAGAGGCATGGAGGATAGTGTCAGAAATACTGTGGGAATCATGTAGCCGGGAAACATCTGTCGCATCTTGGACCTCACTTGCCGAATTATTATTTCGAAACCCTCATCTGGAGCCAGTAAATCAGCTTCCGGATTGGTCGTTGAGGAAACGCAAGTATTCCTGGCCTCGCGTACCACAAACGCAGCCAGTAGAGATGTTCCGGGGTCATCCTTCGCTTGGATCAATTCCACGGCGGCATCCTTGACCGAGATGTGTAGGCGAAGGTGATGTTCAATTTCGGCCGCTTCCAATCGTTGTCCACGAATTTTCAGTTGACTGTCCTTGCGACCCAGGCATTCAATAGACCCGTCAGCATGGCAGCGGGCAAGATCACCTGTCCTATAAACCTTGCCCCGGGCACTCGGCCATAACTCCCGCAGCCATTTGGGACGGTCGATGAAGCAAATAGCAGTGTTGGCCTCGTCTTCCATATAACCTCGCCCAACAATCGGGCCTTCGATCAACAGCTCACCTACTTGACCTACCGCGCAGAGACTTTGAACATCATCCTCATCTACTATCCAGTAAGTTCCACCGACCGGATACCCGATTTTGATAGGCAAATCTGCTGCCTTGTCGACAGCTTGGACACAGGTCACAACAGTACACTCGGTAGGTCCGTAAATATTGAACAAGGACAAGTGAGAAGCCCATTGGTCTCTGTCCTGCGCGGCCATGGCTTCCCCACCACATGCCAAGGTCCTAAGCATCGGCAGTTTCTTAGGATCCAGCGAACGGGCCATAGACGGGGTGAAAAAGGCCCAGTTAACTCGCAGGCGACCCATTGCGGCGACAAGGTCACTCCGTCGTTCCTCTTCCGACGGAATACATACGCACCCCCCGTGTATTAACACGGGGAAGATTTCCATAAGACAGGCATCAAAGGCGTAAGAAGTAAATTGAAGTACACGTGATGTGTGGGTGAGATTTACTTTTGGGCCGTAGGCGACGGCCCCTGATGAGACAGATCGATGTTCAATTACCACCCCTTTAGGAGCGCCTGTACTCCCGGAGGTAAACATAGCATAGGCGGCATTGTTGGGTTTCAAACAATTATCTGCTCCTCGAAACGAGTTCTGGTCTTCCAGCACTGTCTTTTCATTTACAACCACCACATTTGAGGCAAGACGGCCAGCTTCTGGTGCATTTTGAGATGAAGTTATCACCAACTGTGCCTTCACTTTCTGGCAGATGTTCTCGAGTCGTTGAAACGGATGTGATGGATCAAGTAGTACAAAAGCGCCTCCGGCGTGCAAGATGCCTAGAATCGCAATAACTGTCCACCGGGATTTGTCAAGGTAGATAGGCACGAAGACCTCCGGCGCAACACCCCGAGCAGACAGCAACGCACCGAGCGAGCGAGACAAGTTACTGAGTTGCCGATACGTAAAACCGCCATCCCAAGCACATACTGCAGAAGCTTCAGGTTGTTCTTGACAGCGCTGTTCGATCAAATCATGTATGCAAGACTCGATGGCCGCGGGTGGTTTTGCGAATGGTTGCTCGGACTGTGAATCGTAAGTAGGCGCTAGGCCTCCGTTCTGTGTGAGACGAGGTTTGTTGGACAGAAGAGACATTATGACTTGATTCAATTGACAGTATTCCTCTCCCAGGTCGTTTCCAAAAAGTTGTCGTTGCCAGTCAGGTCTTCATATGTCTCCTGTTTGTGTGAAGGAAGAATAAGAAAGGAAAAAGGAAGAGAAAGAGGACAGGGGTGAATTTAGTAGGAAACTTCGAGCACCTAATAATATCTGAGAATGTCTTAATGCTCAATATTCTTGATTTCATCACGGAATGGCACCCAATACTGGGATTGATCTTACCACTTTGGGCTGTCCTGTAAGAGCTACGGTCGAGGAAAATATGCGGGAGTAGGGTTGACTTGCAACTGGCCGAATTCACCGAGATTGTAGACAATCTGGTTTCGTCGGTACCAGTCAGTCTTAGTTACAATATAGTAGGATCTAGGAAGCACAGGCATGTTTGTGTGACTTTTCTTAACCCTCGGGGCGTTATTAGATTGAACCGGAATCCTCCTACAGTCAGATCCCACCTCACATGTTGATGATGATGGGAGCGTTGGTGGTCTCATCATCATTATTGCGGCCGATGTAACGTAAGGCTGTACAGTTAATAACTATCTGGCAACGTTGGAAGTACTTTGAAGATAAGGGGAACCGAATACTTCTGGTTTTCGGAATAGTAATTGAACTTCGTCAGCGAATCCCCCCTTGCCTGCAGGAATGCATCAATTGAGCCAAACTCGATTATCTTTCACGAAACCGTTATCCGTTCCGGCTGCAGGAATGTGAGCCACATACTCTGTAAATTAGTGTTTCATTAAAGCATGCTTATTCCACTGTATTCATTACGATGCCAGTGGAAGGTAAAAGCCCTAGGGCTAACGGGGTTTCCTTCATAGGTTGAGCAATTCCAGATAACAGAAGACTGCATGACTTGTTTAGGACAGGCCTCTGTCTGTAACTCGTATGTTGACAGCAGTACAATGATAGAATACAGTTTTTTCTGAAACTCAATGCCATTCTGAGGAACCGTTGGAAGTTTGAGCGCATAAGATACATATATCTTTATATCCAGCTCATCATCAACACATAGTATTGGAAAAGTTCTTGAATGATGCAATAGTACTACTACTGGTACTTATTAATGCTCATTGAGTTCATATAGATCAAATATACCTTAATCCACTACGAACGCTACAGCATCACACAACATTCGAAGGATACTCCACCTCCTTCAAGCTCCCAAACTCCTCCTTGATTGTTCTCACGCTCACAAACCGCTGCAAATGCGCCATCGTGCCCGTCTTATCATTCGTCCCGGAGTCCCGACTACCCCCAAACGGCTGCTGCGCGACCGTTGATCCCGTACACTTGGTGTTCAGATACAGCATGCCTGCCGCATGACGCAGCGCCGTCTGCGCCTGTCGCGACGCATACGGGTCCTTCGCATAGATACTCCCCGTCAAGGCATAGCGTGATGTCCCGTCCACCAACTTTAGTGTCTCTTCCCACTTGTTATCTGGGTACACATATACGCCTAGAATCGGGCCAAACAGCTCCCGGGACATGATCTCATGCTTCGGGTTCGTGGTGCGATAGACAGTTGGGTGTACGTAGTATCCCTGACTTTTATCGGCGATACCGCCGGCAATGAGTTCGAGTTCGGGATCATTGCGTGCGGAGTGCATAACCTCCGCGAGACGGTCGAAGGCGCGTTCGTGGATGACGGGGTTGATGAAGTGGGCGTATTCGTCGACAGGGCCGACAGACAGGCGGGAGAGGTGGTCTTTCAATGTTTGCTGAAAAGTAGGCCAGACGGATTCGGCGACGTACACGCGGGAGTTAGCGGAGCATTTCTGGCCCTGGTATTCGAACGCCCCGCGGATGGTATTTAGAGCTGCGTTGGTGATGTCCGCTGAGGGGTGAACGAGGCCCCAGTTCTTGCCGCCGGTTTCGCCGATCACGCGTGGGTAGGAGTTGTAGATACCCTCCCCGATGGCGTTGCCGATCTTCTTTTGCAGGCCTTTGAAGACTTGCGTGGAGCCGATGAAGGTGAGGGCGCCGAATTCGGGACGATGGAGGATTGTGTTGGTTACTTGTTCGGCGTCGCCGGGGAGGAATTGGATTACGTCTTTGGGGAGACCAGCTTCAAGGAGAATTTGGTGCAGGAGCCAGCTGGCGTGGAGGGCAGAGTCGGATGGCTTCCAGATTACGACGTTGCCTAGGAGGGCAGCTGGGCCGATGAGGGTTGCGCCTAGTGCGGTGAAGTTGAATGGGGCAATGGCGTAGACGAAGCCTTCCAGGGGCCGGTATTCAAGCTTGTTCCAGGTGCCGGGGAGGTGAACTTTGGGCTGCTGGGCGAAGAGTGACCAGCACTCTTGGATGTAGTGGCCGAAGAAGTCGACTGTTTCTGCGGCGGCGTCGATCTCGGCTTGCCAGATGTTCTTGCCTTGGCCTAGCATGGTGGCAGCAACAATTTCAGAACGGTATTTGCCTGCGATGAGCTCGGAGGCGCGTAGGAAGATGGCAGCGCGGTCTTCGAAGGGCATGGCCTCCCAGGCTGGTTTAGCTTTGAGGGCTGCGTCCACGGCGGTGTTAACCTGCTCGGACGTAGCGGATGCATATTCGGCAACCACCTCGTTGTGGCGTGAGGGGTTCTTTTGGATTTGGGATTTGATAGTTTGTGTCTGGTTTGTTAGCTGCGTGGGTTCGGTCACAGGAGAGGTGACTTACTGTGGAGCCATTGATGGTGAGGGGGATGTTGAAGGGCATCTCGCTCTTCAGTTTCTGTAGGGCTTGCGTCAACTCGGCCCTTTCGGGTGAGCCTTTTGCGTAGTCGAGCTGGTGTTGTTAGTGAGAGTCATGGTATCGAAGGAGATACTTACTGGCTTCTCATTCTCGAACTTGGGAGGATGCCATAGGCTGAGGGCTCGCAGTGGCTGACCTGCCCTCCGGCTAGTGTGGAGAATAGATGCGCGCACGCGAGGTGAGAAGTAAAGTGTCCGCATGATAGTCGATCAATCCTGTATATACTAAGTGTAAAGTTGAGATCTTTTGGGCAAGAAAGGGTATTTGTAGAACAGCTGTCGGGAGGAGTCCCGAGCGGGGAGTGTGGCATCCCCGCAATCCCAATTGAAACTGCAAGGAGACCTGCAGCTGCATCCAATCGTGACGTGTCGTACTACTTGATAAGTGGCCAAGAGATGGCCATGATGCGCCAGCCATTGAGATAGCTTCGGTGTATGGACCGACTGTTATCGTGCGTTTATCCTTTCGGATGCCGATCCCGAGGGTCCCTAATTCATGCATCCAGATACGCAGCAATCGGGCTCGCGTAGTTTCAGCAAATTCATCGCATTGAAGTATGATGTGATAGCTTATAATCTAGTCGTAATCTGTTCTCATTGACCGAACTCAGGTTCAGAATATTGAAGGGTGAAGCATTATTCAAAGGGCGGTAACCGCAAACGTAGATGGGATAGAACGTCGGCTAATTCTGAAAATATATATCCAATGACTCCGCTGTTCTATAATGTTATTCAAAAGTAAAAAAAGGTAAACCCGAGCAGCCAAGCTGAGATCTACTCTGCTTCCTCAGCTTCCTCCTCACTCTGTGCAGCCATTTCCTGGTAGAACCCTCGCCATATATCCAAAGAATCTACTGGTTGGTCTTCCTCGTCGTCCAACTCATCCCATTCATTCCATTGCCCCAAGCTCATCAGGTGCCTCATAGTCGGCCGGCCATGGGGACAATTCCACGGCTTATCAATGGTGCCCATATTCTGCACCACCTTCTGCATCTGCTTGACCGTCAAGGTCTTGCCAATCATGATGCTCGACCGGCATGCCCGCATGGCGAACATCTTCCGCACTTTGCTCGGACGGGGTATATACATTCCTGACGCTGACCGCGCAGCGTTAGTAGGTGTCTCCGACAATAGAACAATGAGCTCTTCCAGATCCCGAACCCCAAAGACCACTTCTTTGCTCAAGGGCAGCGAGACCAACTTGCAGCGTCGCCCGATAGGCTCGTCTCCGCTTTCGTCCACTTCTACAATGAAGCCGTTCTTTTCCAGCGCGGCTTGGTTCTCGATGACAGTTTCCTCCTCCACTGCAGTGAGATCGAGGCGCTTCGGTTGGACGAGGCGCTGATTCTGCACCACGGTTTCTGCCTGCAGTCGTTCGAAGTTGAACTTTTCATCAGAGGCATGCTGGTCTATGATGAAGAGTTCGTCTTTCGCCGATGATCCAGCACCCGTGTCATCGGCGGATGAGCGCGTAGCTAGGATGAACCCGAGATTGAACTGCCCGACTATCCGCATGTTGGCAAAGTCATCTTTGCTAACCGTTAAGGATAGCCTCTCCTCAGCCGTTTCTTGTTGAGTTGCCATCTCATCTTCGCCCTGGGAGGGGCCGTGGTGCTCTTCCCAACGGCGGAGGCTTTCCTGTAGTTGCCCAAGCTGTGATTGTATCTTGGAAACAGAACCATCGATAGTACTCATTAGCTGCACAGTAGAGTCACGGTGGGCAGCCCCCTTATTCATCTTGTTGGCACGATGAATATTGTTGTCCTGCGGCAATGCTGCTTTGTCCTCTGCTTCTTGGATGAGTCGTTGGACTTCTGCTTCTTCATGGCGCTTTTTCTCTTCCTCGCTTATGTTCTCCTTCGAGGATCTAAGCTGTTGTGAGTTTTGAGGATCATTGCCATTGCTGGCTTCGTGGTTATGATGGTCACTGCTAACATCTTCGGGAGGGTGATCCTCTTCATTGTCTGACGGAGCATAAGATTTAGATCCATCATCTTCGTCTTCTTCCTCGACTTCCTCCTCTTCCTCTACAGGCTCCTCACCTTCGTCGCTCTCCTCAATTGCATCTTCGGCCTCCTCATCCAGAATTTCTTCATCTTCACTTTCCGGCTCCATTCGTGATCCTGGAGCAGCAAAATCCCTCATGTGCTTGCCGAATATGCTAGGGCGTGAAGGGGTGTGTATCCGTCTTTTGCGGGTCGTAGGGCCAGCAGCATCACCAGCACCTACGGATCGCTTTCTGGGCAACCCACTCCCCACCATAGACGTAACGGTCCGGTTGCCGATAGTAATGGTAGCCATCTCAGGAGGCATTCGCCTCGGCCGCATCCGATCAAATGCATTTTGGATAGTATTGGGTGTCTCCTCCAGGGGGTCGGCTATCTGCGTCGGCGAAGGCTCCTCAGGAGCCATGTCTTGAGACGAGAGATTATCGTCACGCTGTTGGGGGGCTTCTTCCGCGGTTTCCTCTTGTATGAGAGGCTGTGGTTCACCAGGGGAGTCCTGCCTCACGAAGAGGTCATTGTCCTCTTCCATTGGTTCAGGCTGGTCTTGAGGTGACGAAGGCATAGGCTTTTCTTGTACGCTTGGTGCATCCCGGCCTGCAGGGGAGGAGACAACTGGACTACTGCCACGGGCACCAAGGCCGCTCAAGAAGCTCTTCATCCGGTCCTGCGAGCTCGACTGCACTTCTCCAGTCCCCTGGCTTCCCACTAGTTCCTGATCATCAGCCGCCGAGGAACTCACATCATCCACTGCAGGCCGGTTCGGACTCTGAGTCTGAGACTGCAAACTTCCCAAGCGTTGTTTGATAGTAGGAGTCGGCTTCGACCCAACAACCAACGACTGCGGCACTGTCTGATCCGACGACTCAAACAGTTGCACCAGCGACTCCTTCAGCGAATCAATCAGCGCTCCCGCATCATGTAACAGAATGGTCCGCTTATCCGGGGACACATTAACATCATAAGCGTTCGTATCCATATGGAAATCAGCAAACACAAACGGCGACTGAGACACATTAAACGACTTATACACCTCATTAAACGCCTTTGCAATCTGCGGCAACCCACACGGGCGAGAATTCACAAAAAACATCTGCCGATCCGGAGTCTGTCTTCCCTCCCCAAACACCGGTTTCGAGACATGTCCGCGAACCGTGAGTTTATTCAACTCCCCAGACCCAGTAATTCTCCTCCCTGCCGCAGCAGACGGCTCAAACTCCAGTGCCAAATCCAGCGGTATCAGCGCCAGCAGCGTCTTCGCCCCATACACATTGGCAATATTCTCCTTGGTCGTCTGGTTTCCATTCGTGCTGAACACGACCACATTCTTCGTTTTGCCCACCGAGTTTCGGACGCTGAAGCGCACCCCCGTGCTGACGCACGCATACGCATGTAACAGGTTCAACACCTTGCCATATTCGCGCTTGATATTCTTCTCCAGCTCTCGCCGCCTTACCGGTAATCCCTTGAAGATACTCTCCACCGAAGCCGTCGTACCTTTCTGGCCCGCGACTATCTGCGTCTTTTTCAATTTCCCGGAGGGTTCGAAATCAAGTCGGGTGGCTTTAGGAGCTTGGTTCGCTTGCGCCGTGGTAATGCGAAAGTCGGATAATGCGCATAGGGATGATAGCGCTTCGCCGCGGAATCCAAAGGTGTGGAGAGTGGTGAGGTCTTCGTAGGAGGAGAGTTTGGAAGTGTAGTGCTTTAATGCGACGTTGGCGTAGTTATCGGGGGAAATTCCGCTGCCGTTGTCTTGGACTTCGATTAAGTCTAGGCCATTGTTTTTGAAGCGAATTTCTAAATGAATTTGAATAAAGTTAGCGACACCAATTTATGGCATGCAATGTGGGCTGGATTTAGGTGGTTGTTGTTGTACCTATTGAGGTTGCTCCGGCATCGAGACTGTTTTCGACCAGTTCCTTTGCAACGGAGCACAAGTCAACAATGACTTGGCCGGATTGGATTTGATGGATCTGTAGTGTATGGATTAGAAGGTATCTTAGTAATAAATACCAGGCAGACGTACTGAGCGGGCCTCGATGGCCTTGATGGTCGCCATGTTCATGCCATGGTGAGAGTGAAACTTGAGAGGGCAGAAAACGCGGTGACACGCGCTCGCCGGCCACTTTACGCGGTGGCTGCGATAAGCGCATCGCCGGGCGGGAGTTTCAATATCTACAAGCAGATACAACGACAACCAGTTCCAATAGCATAAATATCATTCTTGTGCGCTTAACGGATTGTAATATGATACATGCGAGTTCTTTCAAAGACAACAGCAGCTGAGCATGGTATGTCGCAAAGTAACAATAGGGGAATTCAGTTGCAGAATGGCGGCACCCACTATGACGTAGAACGGCAGGAAACTGTACAACTACGAGAAAAAGAAATATCGCTGTTCAACGCCCAACTCCCGGTCATACGTGACTTTCAACTCAAGATCCACGATCAGTAGGCGTCAAAGCGGTCCGGTAGAACCACCGGTGCGACCAGGGTCCACAGGTAGATTCCATAGCACACCCAGGCACTGATGATCTTCACCCAGCTGGCCCAGTAGGTGCGACCAACGGGCGCAAAGTCATCGACGGCCTCCGGGTCCAGGTTCTGAGTCAGCAAGGTGGCCACCCAGGTGGTGGCCAAGAAGAAGATAATGTGGAACAAAGAGTAATTATACTGCGTCGATCCCTTCTCGTCGTCCTTGGTGTCATACTCATCGGATTCGTCGTCGCTGTCATCCAGCGCACTGGCGGGCAAAGCACCACTCTCGACTGCCGCCCGAAGAGCCTCGGCCCGCATCTCGCGACGAGTGGTTGGCTGCTGGGTCACAAGACCATGCTCGTTGTCATCCGATCCCAGCTGCGAGTAGTTATGCCCCCCCTTGGAGCCTAGCGCGATGCCCTGGGTGGCCGCGCGGGTGGTCGTATACGCGATGGTAGCCATGGTGACAATCGCACCCAAAACGATACTAGCCGTTCGGGTGCCTCGGGCGCGAATCAGAGGGTTACAGTGACGGTCATCTGGCTCCATGGACACCGCGGACATGGTGAGATAGGTGCAATAAACTGTAACCATGGCGGCCTGGGCCAATCCTGCTCTGGGGTTGGATTCCTGCACCATGGGCTGCACCGATATGATCGAAATAATAAGGAAGACAACGAGGTTAATCTATTACGGAAGTAAGCACGAGGCCTGAGGCGGCAGATGACAAGACTGTAGGAGACACAGAAAACTTACAGTAATCGCAGCCTGGTTCATGGCGCATCCGCTGTGGGCAAAGAAGACATACATCAAGACCGTCATGACGAGAGATGCAATGTACATGCCCACAGTGGAGCCGATCAGAAGGCCACGCCACGTGCGTGAATCGCTATCTTCGATCTTCTGCAGGCACAATTCAGCCCATGAATGCGCCAGATCCACCAAGAGGATGAGACCCAGCAGGAGGAACAACATGGCGCAAATAAAGGCGATATAGTGGCCGTAGACGAAGAAAAACGACTCGGGGATGAAGAATGAAGCGACAACGAGCGCAAGCCACAGAATGATCTTGGGACCCCAGAACCCATTCTGAAGGACCGCACGGCCATCCTTGGAGGACCTGACACCAAGCAGCATGAAGGCGAGGATCAAATGGAAGAGCCCAAGACCGAAGTTGATTCGATGAACGGCCACCCAACCATAGCATTCTTTTCCATCACATCTGATTTCCATGTAATCTAGTGTCATGTGTTGTAACTTTTTGAGCGCCCATGGGGTGAGCATTATCCAGGAGATGATCGAATTGAACAAGAGGATGAAGGCATAGGCGATTCTCGTAGCCATACTGTTCGTCGGAGCCTAATGTCAGCCAAATACACCATCACGAAGCGCAAGTTTAATTTTTCTATTCGAATGTCGCTGACCTGTTCTGAAATTTCCCACATGCACTACATACTGCCGAGCAGGTTGCTGCGCCGCAGCACGATGTCGCGAGGGTGATGAGCTACCTTGATGTCAGTGGGGGGATTAGATGGCGGTGATGGAGGTGCACGTACCGTGCTGGCACTGGGGAGAGCCAGCAGAGGCAGAGATAAGAGGGCACCCATGATGGATGAAGAAGAGTGTCACTCCCTCTCACTAAAGACAATGTTTGATCCAGATGCAGAGACGGGATGATAATAATCAGCCTGGGGATACTGGAAAGATGAAGACGGAATGGCAGGAGGAGAAGCCGCGGAGGTTCGCCGCCTTCGTCATGTGCCGGAGATCTTAGCGGATGATGGTTGGTTTCTTACGCGCGGCCAGCAAAGTCGGCTACATTTACAACACCATGAAGTGATTTCAATAGCATACTAGCTAGTCACACTATACTATAATACTAAGTAGCTGTTCGGAAGGAGGCAGCACCTGCCAAACCTAGTAGGTTCAGCAGTTATGCTTTCCCTCCACAATGTCTGGGGATGTTACTCCACGTGATGGAGCATGCATTAAAGTCACGTGACTATGTATCCGGGGCAAGTGTGCCGGTAATGATGACCTTATCGGCGATAAGCGACTGGCTGTCAGGTCTGTCACACTCATTTGAGGTGGTACTGCAGTTACCATACGATACCATACTACTATGACTCCCCTCCGATCTCGTCCGTCCGGGGAGACTAGCCCTGAGTTGAGCTGACGAGTCCGACGGGACACTTTTGGGGACACTTTGCTACTTGACTACTAATTGATTGCGTGGGAGGGTGGAGTGTACTAAATTTCCATTGCTGAAAGAACATCCAAACATTAACTAGTTACTCACCGTCGCTCTTTTCTTTTTCTGTTTCTCTCCCTTCTTCTTCCTCTTCTTGCACTCTTTTTCTGCCCTTCTTTTTTTTCTTGTGTTTTTCTGTCCTTCCTTAAACTACCACCCCCAACTACTACTACACCACTACTACTATCATCCGTGGTGCGGTTATCTATGGTCGAGGTCTAGCCGGCCGTCCTTACATCGCTCTCCTCCGGTTATCGTGACGTGATAACGTTTATCCACTGCACCACCATCCCGGCCAACGAACTACAAATACTAGTCGTCCAGCCACTGCGACCCTCCCCCGCATATTTCGATGCGAAGAGTTCCCTACTGGCCTTCCCCCGGTGTCTTCGCCCTTCCCATCCCGCTTCGCCATGGCCGCAGCCTCGCCCAATAAATCAAAGCGGATCGTTTCCGTCGTAGCGGCCACCCTGGTTGCTCTCGCGTGTGGTACCAACGTGCGCTTTTCCCCTTCTCTAGATCCATATGAAGCTGGCTGTTGAGCACGAGTCTGATATCCGTGACAGTATGCATACTCGGCATGGGCGCCCCAATTCGCGCAACAAATGAAGATCTCCTCCACCGAAAGCAACTTCATTGTAAGCCGCCCATTGCGCCCGTCACCAAGAGTTCAACGTTTAATTGATAATACTTCCAGGGTGCGGCTGGGAATTTGGGCATGTATGCATCGGGAATCCCGTTGGGTCTGTTGACAGATGCTCGAGGTCCGCGTCTGACGACTTTCTTGGGTGCGATCACGCTGGGAATTGGCTACTATCCCATCTATCTGGGTATGCCCTATATTGAACCCTGCGGACCTTGAAACTAGCTGACGTCGGCATATACAGCATACGTCAAGGGACCCGGGTCGATGGCCATTATCTTCCTGTCGTTTTTCGCTTTCTTGACTGGCTTCGGAAGTTGCTCAGCCTTCTCAGCATCTATTAAGACATGTATGCCAAGCCTTTCCAATGGGTCTGTTAACTTGTATGGCTGACAACATCGTTTAGCGGCTTCCAACTTCCCCGATCACCGTGGAACAGCGACCGCTTTCCCCTTGGCCGCTTTTGGGTTGAGCGCGTTCTTCTGGTCCACCGTTTCCTCGGTTCTCTTCAAGGACGACACTGGCCGCTTCCTCCTCTTGCTGGCTCTGGGCACCTGTGCCCTAAACCTCGTTTCGATCCCCTTTCTTCGTATTTTGCCTCCTAGTGAGCCGTATATGCCACTCGGACGGGGCAGGTCCCCTGGCGTAGAATCTCAGCGACTGCGCACTACTAGATCTACAGAGTTCCGGCACAGCCTGGAAGAATCTGATGAAGCAGGTACGCAGACCTTTATAACCTATGAATCCTGTCCCGCAGCGCGTGACACATCGCACTCGGTCGTGTCGAGTCCCCATCACCCCGGCCACAACCCCGATATTGACGAAACATCCTCCTTGGTGTCCAAAGTTCCCTCACGCTCATCCCGAGAATTCCTCAACCAACACGAGGAGGATGACGATGCTCTCTCCGATGTTGCTCCCGAATCCCCTCATCCGGACGTTCGCGGCTTGGCGATGCTTCCGAAGATTGAGTTCTGGCAACTCTTTTTGACGATGGCGCTTCTTTCTGGAATTGGTTTGATGACTATCAAGTTAGTACCATTATCTTATCTTTGCACAAAATCGATGCTAATCGTTCAATAGCAACATTGGAAACAGCGTAAGGCAACTCCGCACAATTCCATTCATGTCAGCTGACTGTATTCTTGCAGGCCAAGGCACTTTGGCAGTACTACGACGACAGCGCAAGCCCGAAGTTTATTCAACAGCGCCAGGTTATGCATGTTTCAATCCTGTCTTTCGGAAACTTTATTGGTCGACTTTCTAGCGGTATGTCGCACCTTCAATGCTCATAATCGGCTTGGTGCTAACCTCCTATAGGTATTGGCTCCGACCTTCTGGTGAAGAAGCTGAACATGTCGCGATTCTGGTGCTTGTTCATCTCCGCCTTTGTCTTCACCGTCACCCAACTTGCAGGTTCCGCCATCTCCAACCCTCACCAATTAGCCATTGTATCCGGATTCACCGGTATCGCATACGGCTTCCTTTTCGGCGTCTTCCCGTCGCTGGTCGCCCACACCTTTGGCATCGGTGGCCTCTCCCAGAACTGGGGTGTCATGACGCTTGCACCCGTGTTTAGTGGCAACGTCTTCAACCTGCTCTACGGCAGTATCTATGACCGCCACTCTATTGTCGAGCCCAACGGAGACCGCGACTGCCCGGATGGTCTGGCTTGCTACCAGTCTGCGTACTACACGACGTTCTTGTCTGGTGTGGCCGGTGTGGTCGTCTGTCTGTGGAGTATCCTGCACGAGAGACGCATCCACGGCGCGATGCACAAGAAGGTCGAGCATGACCGACTTGCTTAGGATGGAAGAGGCTGAAAGCGGTGACTTTTATTTTGTCTTCCTCGTAAATATACCCAGGGGATATGTGCCAATTTAACAGGCAATTTGGTTGGGATTTTCAACATAGAGGGTTCGCAATTTCATATAGACAATCATTGATTTCAAAGTGTTCCCGATAATTTTACTATATGGGCCATGCTGCCGTTTCAACTAGGGTAAAGCTAGTAAGCGTCAGTGTACTCCGGTTTACTGAACGCCCAATCATAACATATGAGCTACTACACAGTGTTCCAACTTACATTGTCCACCTGTATGTAGTATCCCTTCTACCCCATTAAACTCTTCCCTTTCAATCACACTACATACATAATCTTACACAGACTTCTATCCAAAAAGTGAGATGTAATACATCAATAATCCTCCCCCCTCACCCACTCATCCTCCATCAACAACTCCCTCGCACTCGGCCTCTCCCCGGGGACCCAGCTCAACGTCTTCCGCAGAAACCGCAGAAAAAGCCTCTTACTATCGCCCTCGAGTTGCGTCACTCGATCATCCAGAGAGCCTCCTGGAATCTCTACGTGGCTTTTCCAATTACCTATACACACAAAATTGAATTAGTCAGTCAAAACCCAAGCTTTTCTCTAATATAGATAAATACTAGGGATAGGTTAAAAAAAAAAGACATACCATCTCGATCCCAAAACCTCCAACTCTCCTCACTCCGACCCAGAAACTCAACAGGTGGATGCCCAAGCAGGACTATCATCTCTGCGAAGCGACGAGCATGGTCATCTTGTGTAATCAGGTGTGGGGTGTTGGTGAAGAGGTGGGTTGATTGGAGTAAGCTCCATGTCTTAGCATCCATCCATCCATCCATGCATCATTAGTTATCTTCTATGCGATTGAAAGGTAGTTAGGGTAATTTGTACCGTCTGCCCCAAAGCCCATATATCCACCTTCTCATCCCACTCCATATTAAGCATTACTTCCGGGGCTCTATATAACCCCGGCATGATGATAGAACCACTAGTCTGCGTGCCCGTATCAATGGGAAGAAGTAATCTCGCCTCCCCCAGATCAGCGAGCATAGGTTCACCAGTCGTGAAGGGCATTCCGCGAGTAGCGTAGATCGTTCTATCATCCGAAAGGTGTTTCCGCGGAGCAGGCTCGTTGAGTTCTTCCTCTTCTAGGTCGGTGAGGATTGAGGTGTCTTCGATGCCTAGGAGGATGTTGGTTGGTTGGATGTCTATATCATATCTTACTTAGTAAACTATCTATGGCTGATGGTGAGAGGGAGAGAGGAGGGGAGATTTGGGGTCTGTGGTTTACCTGTATGAACCACATTCGCCGAATGAAGATAATCCAACGCAATGAGCATAAACCGGATGGTTACGCGGAGAAGGTCCTCCGGTAATGCGTTGTCTTCTAGACACTGGATGTAATCGCAGATGTCCATTCCGGATGGCTGGTAGAGAATACATGGGTGGATTCCGTGGGGGCCTTGGATCTCGAAGGAGTCGTGGATGAGACGGGTGTATTTCTGGCCTACATGTTTACTATGTTCGGATTTGGTGCGGTGGGTTTGTTTTAGGTGTTTGGATATGAGGATCTCCGGGAGGTGGGTGTGTTGGGTGCTGCGGCCGTGGAGTTTTAGGGTTAGGTAGGTAGTTGTTGGTTCTGGAGTAGTTGGTTAGAGTGGTTCATGGGGCTGGTGAGGAGTAACTAGGTAAGTGAATGTGTGAAGTAGTATGCATACTGTAGATCACGACATAGCCAGACGGTGGATGAGGATCCGAAGCCGAGTTTGGTGATAGACTTGGTATCGGGAATTGAAGACTTCACCGATGTGGACGGGGTAGAATCGCTCGGCTCGGTAGTCAGGGAGAGGTTCTTCTTCTAGCTTGGGGATGTGATTGAGGAGTTCGTATCCTGTTGTGGGGAATGTGTGTGGTGGTGATGGGGATGAGAGGGAGCTTGTATGTCTGTGTTGACAGGGGTGGAGGGGAGAGGTGATAGGCCATCGCGATGGTTTGGGACGGCTGATTATGCCATTGATAGGGCTACAGAGACGCATTACTGTCTTCATAGCTGTGTGAGCTATCTAGATGGTGATGATTGAAGTGCTGACTTCATGGATAGAGAAACACGTGCTCTATGTCATGTGTCTAGTCCTATCGACATGCATCCCTGTTCTGCCCTATTCGAGATAACTCCGATTATACTCCGTGCCCATCACTGACACTCTAATTCGATCCCAGCCAAGACTGCTCTACAAAGAAGATCTCCCGATGCCAGAATCTTGAATGCGCCCTTACATTCGTTAGAAAGATAGGAAGAGGCAGCCAGATGCCTATCCATCTACCTCCGATAAGTACTAGAGCCAACGAGCATTGCGCTCCAAATGGCGACATCCCCCTACATGCACTAAGTCATTACCCATCATTACCCCCTCACCTACCTATACACTCTATCTAAACATAAACCCAGATAACAATAATCCCATCAACCCAACAATAGGTTAGTATAACCGCATCCCTCTCCTTCAAAAGCGGGGAACCCTCCAATCAGCACACCCCCGACCGTCGGGAATCCGGGTAATAAGCAAACCCCCAAGGGCCAGATTACCATATATAGAAGTATAGATAGATCATAGATAGGATGAAAATCTGCTTACGGTTATACACAAGCAATTCCTTGAGTGAGGAGATGCCGATCAACGTCGTATCCCCGACGGACAACAAATCAGGTTGGGCCAATAATAAAGGGAGGATTTGCGTGATGGGCATTGATAAGGGCAGATTGCAGATTGCATTGTAAGGAGGTCGGGTACAATTCCGGATACTCCGGACTCGTGACCAGTGCACTTCATCCATCGCACTGATAAGGAAGGAATCGGATCGACAGAGTGGAGTAATGAGATGAGATGGGATGCCCAGGTTGGGGGTTTCATCATTAAAGTGGGATGATATAGGGTCGGTGGTCTTAAGGATTAGGTTAGGTTGGGTTACAATGGGGAAGGGATACTGTGAAGGTTTCCTTCCGCCTTCGGAAGTATAGTATGTGGTCACTCAATACTGTTGCATCGGATGATCGGTATTACGACAGATAATGTTGGAAGAAGACAATAGTTAGATTCAGGGAGTTAATAATAACACGAATTACTTTGAACACATGTAAACCCTTTACAGGTCCTTTTCTTTTTTCTCTCTTTCTGAGGGGTTTTTTGTGCGGTCGGGCTGGGATGAGGGGGTTGGTGCAGGCGCAGAATAATCTCTCCCCGACTCATATCGGAACAAATAGGATGAGTAGAAGAAGAGAATGGGGAAAGTGGCTCGAAAAGAAGGTTGTGTGATATAATTAGGTAGTTAATCCGATATACAGCCAGCCAATGACAAGACTCGTAAAGGGTATCAAAGAGACCGGGGAAGATCAGAGAACGCAGCACCGCAGACTGTGTGCGCATTTGTTTTACGTCGGTGCTGCCCGACGCACGCATGCGCGTCCATCGTCCGAACAAAGTCCCCCTCCCATGAGGCCTTAGACACTCTTGGGGGATTTTGTCGGCGATTCCGCAGGTTGCTCCACGACGTCGGACAGCCGCATCCGCTTGGCCAGCGGTTCGCCGGGACTGTCATTGCCCGCCGGGTTGGCAGAGGAGGTCTGGTCGCTAAGCTGTCGCTCCAGCTCAGATATCCGCCGTTTCAGATCGTCTTCGCGCCGTTGGGCCTCCTCCAGAGACCGCCGGAGTCGTACCTCGGAGTCCCGGACGATCATCTCCGATCGGCGCGCAGTCGCGCCGCTCTGCTCCAGTTCCGTCACCCGGCCCCGGAAGAGTTCATTGATAAACTCCAATTCGCTCACGCGAGTCTTCAAAGAGGTATTGGCTGCGAGCAGTCCATCGTAGGTCTGTGGTGACTCGAGATGGCGGTCCACAGCCGCCGAGGTCGCCGTGGGCGAGGGCTGGCGCGGCTGCACCGAGGGTAGCGCATTCGGCTGGCTGAGACCGTGATCGCCGATTGTGACACTATCGAACATGTGCTGGGGCGCAATGTTGGCATTGTGTTGCGACTGCGGGTGTGGTTGTTGCATGGAAGGGATACCAGGCGTTTCGGTTCGGGAGACGGGTGAGTTGGATCGGTCGGAATGGCCCGGTGATGCCTTCCGCGACGCGCGACGGTATCCTTGGGACCCCATGGGCGGCGTCCCTGCTTCGGACCTCGAGGTAGACAAGCCATTTGTATCGATAGCGCCGCCGGACTGATAAGAGATTGATATGGATGTTAGCGACCGTTATCTCAGGATCACGACGACAGTATACAGGCAGGGAAAATTTTTCTAGACGACCGACTCACCTTACGCTTGGGGCCCTGACCAGCAGTCTTGACCCGGTTGCGACTCTTGATGACATCGGTCTTTAAGCTTATCGGACGGGGCCTGCCATGTAGTTTGAGGAACAAGCCACAGGCGTTGCAAAGGACGGAGCCGAGTTCGTCTCTGCGCCAGAGAGGTGTCGTAGAAGTGCCGCAATTCTGGCACACAGGCTGTAATTGAGGACGTTTGTGATCAGCCAACGTGGTCGCCATTGTTTTTGGAGCAGTAGGATTGCGCGAAGGAGAGGGGAGGGAAAGACAGAAGATGGGGAAGCGGACTGATAGTGGATGGAGGAGGAAGAGCGCTGGGTTGATAAGATCGGGAGAGATTTGATGGGCTGGCGCGATAAGGAGCAGGTGGTGCGGCGCCAAGCCCCCAGCGGCTGCTGATAACAGCAGATTGGATTGGCACAGAAAAAGAAACCCAGGAAATTAAGGGTCACCCTGAACACCAAAAATTTCACCCCAAAGCAAGAAGGAAAAAGCAACAAAACCAGCGTAGCTCGATAAAAACCATCGTCCTCCGATGATAAGATCGTTTCAGTAACTTACAGGATTATTGCCCTGCCCACCAGTAGTGGCAGCCGGAGAAGATGTCGCGTATGTCATATTGGCCATACTGGGCTGCGCATTGCTACTCGAGGCTCTGTACACGTAAGACTCGTCAGCATAACCAGAGATACGGGCGCATTGGGCGTGTGAGCATTCAAAATTATCATATCGCCCCTTCGGATATGGCAGGGGAATCACGTATGATCTTCACTGCGATTCCCCTCTCATTCCGTCACCTGGTCTCGTCTATGCAACATCGCATAGGGAAAGGTTCTTGCTAGGTACACATACCGCAGATTGGAAGTGGGCGCGGATGCGACCGAGGCCAAAGCAGAGAGTCCAGGCAGAGATGGGCCCAGAGAGCTGGGAAAGGCACTACCGTTGCTGCTACTGCTCGGGCTGTGGGTGTATTTATCTAGAGAACTCGCCTCGGGAAGCGTTCCAGAATACTGCGATGACGCTGATGATGCTCCCGCGCCAGTATCCGTAGTCGATTGACGTGACCCCGATTGACTGTCAGTCGAGGAGGAAGTATGTTTGTAGTTCGAGTCTTGAGACTGCGAGTTCGACGGCGACGGCGGACGAAGGGCTGGGTCGATGGGCGACGCCCGGAACAGGAGTGAAGCCACCGTGGAGGTTGTCGGAGGGAACTAGCTAGAAATTCGGCCCCAAATGACCGAATTGTAGACGATTCGAGGGGAGGTTTTCCGTCGTTCCGGGAGTGGTATACGACGGTTTGGGAGGAAAGATTGGTGCCGTTGGAGAGGACCAGCCACGTCTGAAAGGGAGGAATGATATGGAATCTCGTTCAACTTTTTCTTGGTTGATCAGTTTTGATCAAACGATCAATAGACTTTTTCCAAGCCCGAAATGATTTTCTTTTTGTTTTTGATAATTGCTTTTATCCGGCCCAAGGGACATCAGAGATTATACTCCAGGAGTAAAAGATCTCAACACAAGGCTGTCTCGGGGACAAGTTGCTGCAAGTCGACCCAAGGAGCGATTGCTGAAAGGAGCGACACGAAGGTGAAAAACAGAAGGATTCAAGCGGATTGACCGGAAAGGAATCATGCGAAAGAAGCTGATAGGGTTTGGGGAAGGGAATTCGAGACAAATCTGGAGGGGAACAGGATGGTCGGGAGGGAGAAGGAAGATCGAGGGTTGATTATCGGGGCTGCTATCGCGCGTCGGAGGCTATCGATTATTTATCGAAATGGCTCTGCGGAACCGCCGCTTGGCTGGGCCCAGCCGAGTCTTGGATACTCAGATTAAATCTTGGATAGGGATCCGTCACCCGTAGGAATTCCTCCTTATCACCTCCTCCCCAGTCAGTCCCGGGCTGTTGCTATGCTATGCTTCTGCTCTCCAAGGTTTATGCGCCTATCTAATAGTATGCGCGGGACGGGCCCGGAATGAATCTTCGCAATGTTGTTGTCGCGCCCCTGCATGCCCCTTTCCCACCAGCCTAGTATTTACTGTGATCGCCCCTGTGTTCTTTTGTCTTTCAAGCTTGTCCTTCAATGGCCAGAGACCATCATCACTCACGACTTTTCTATAGTGGAGTGGAGGCTGAGGTGGAGCTGAGCGTCAATAGCAGACGATAGTTGACCGGCAGAGTGGCTGACCAGGACTCATGCTTGCTGTGATCGGAATCAGTCATGGTATTGCTGATTGGTGCGCAATCACTCGACTGTTGACGTTCTCCATTATAGCAATTCTTCATACATCATGCTACTGCACCTCGTTTCACTCTATCGGTCCATGTCTTAGATCGTAGCATAATCTCGTTGGAGGGACGAAGCCATGGCGCGCATATCGCGTGGAGTGGAAGTGCTGGAAAACGGCTGCCAGTGTCTGCACGGGGTCAATGGCAGTAGCTGTGGTCGATGAACTGGACGACAAGAATCAACCATAAGACCCCGATTTATCTGGCTCAATTGAACAGAGCATGGCTGTTACTATTTGTAGAAACAGAGACTGCGGAGTGAAGTAGTAGTTTGTTGTGCTTTCTCGCTCAACCCACTGACTCTCTGGATCAGAGGGGAATTGACAGCTCTAATTGAGCAGCAACCTTCTTGGTATCTCTCCCCTCCCCCAGAAAACGTCTATTCCTTCTCCGGGGAAAAGCATCGCGTTGCGAGCCATCGATAATTCAGGGGCTTCCGTGAAGCTCGAGTGGATCCCAGCGGCACGATACGACCAGTGGTGGCGGTGCGGTATGGTATGGTATCCGGGGTGTGGCTGATTTGGACCCTGACTGCCATGTGCTTGACTAAGCCGCCGTAATTGGTGGTACGGTGACGGTACGAGTGGTAATTGCGGCGAGCGGCCACTTCTTCAAGATGACAGCGGCGCTGCCTCGAACTCTCTCTCCGGCTCTGGATTCTTGGAATCTGCTCTCTCCCTCCCTCCCTCCCTCTCTCTGTCGCTCTCCCTACCTCTCCGTGGTCGGGGAATATCGCTTCTACTTTGTCTTTACTCGTCTCTAATCCAGTAATGGCTTGAGTTTGTTTATCAATCATCCTTCCCCTTCTCGCCGTTCATTATCCACCTCCTACCTTAATTCTTTCCCTTGCCCCGTCGCCTTCATATGGTCCGAAAGTGGTTGCCTCCCCGACTCGACTTGTCCCATTATTTTATAAACTATCCCGCTTCCATTCACTATGCCCAAAAGTAATCGGCCAGCGACCTCGGGTTACGCCCGCTTGGCTCAAGAGGAGGAGGATAGAGCCAATGACTTGTACGATTATTCCGACGATGACGACCTACACGCCCCCAGCACGATTTCCCAGTCCGCCCCCCGATATGCTCCCATCTCCTCCCGAGCCCAGATGCAGGCCGCCGGCCTGTCCACACCTCCCGAACACCGTCGACGACTGAGTGGCCACTATCGCCGAGGACGGAGGAATTCCGGGGTCGACATCAAGGCCATAAATGCCCGTCTCGAACGGTGGGCGGAGGAGATCGCCTCCAAGTTCAAGATCAACCGTGTTAAGGGCAAGACCTTCGAGGAGGAGAAGCTGGAGATCTATCACTCTGTCTTCCAGGCTCCCGACGGAGTACGGCCCATCTCTGCGGAAGCCCTTGAGTCGGATGAGATCGAGGGGGCTGCGCGCAGAGCCCGGGACGAGTTCGAGGAAGTCGTGGAGAGTGTCCGGATAGCCATTGAGATGGGTGTCCATCCGAGGATGATCTCTCAAGGAAGCTCTGGTAGTTACTTTGCGCGCAATGCCGAGGGTAAAGTTGTGGGAGTGTTCAAGCCCAAGGATGAGGAACCATATGCATCCCGCAACCCGAAGTGGACCAAATGGATCCACCGAAACTTATTCCCCTGTTTCTTTGGCCGGGCATGCCTGATTCCTAATCTGTCGTATGTCTCGGAAGCCGCGGCGTATGTTCTTGACTCGCGTCTTCACACGAACCTTGTCCCTTACACCGACATTGTTTGGCTATCTTCGAAATCCTTTTTCTACGATTTCTGGGACCGCAGGAAGGCTTGGATGGGCAAGAGGCCGCTTCCTCCAAAAGCAGGCAGTTTCCAGGTCTTTTTGAAGGGCTACAAGGATGCGAACCTCTTCCTGCGAGACCACCCTTGGCCAGATCAGACTAACACTGGTTTCCGAGCGGAGGATGCCCCGAAGCGCAAGAAGCGGCCGTGGAGTGAAGCTTGCCGCCCCTCCGGCGTCCATTCCGATGACGAGGACGAAGAAGAATATGAAGACGGTCAGGCGCGCACGCCATCCCCCCGCGAGGAAAGCCGAGAACGGCGGTTCTACTGGACGGAAGGCTTGAAGCAGTCGTTCCGGGAAGAACTGGAGAAGCTTGTGATTCTCGACTATATCATGCGGAACACAGATCGTGGATTGGATAACTGGATGATCAAGATCGATTGGAAGACTGAAGAGGTTTCCATTGTCGCTGACCCGCCCAAGCCCAATGGAGCTCAAACACAAGAGGATGATGAAGACATGCCGCCTGCTCGTCCCGTTTCTGTCAACTCCAACGGAACGAGTGCAGCTCAGCATCCTTATCGGCGACGTGAAGCAATGGTTGCCGTTAGCCGTACTGGGACCCCATTGAACGCAACCGACCCTCAGGTGACCGTTCAGATCGGAGCCATTGATAACAGCTTGTCGTGGCCATGGAAGCATCCGGACGCCGTAAGTCCACCGTCTTGATAACAACGCGATGTCACAAACCCTACTAACCTGTCACAGTGGCGAAGCTTCCCGTTCGGCTGGCTATTCCTTCCGGTTTCTTTGATCGGTCAGCCGTTTTCGCAGAAAACTCGCGACCATTTTCTGCCCCTTCTTACCTCGACGGCCTGGTGGAGCGGGACTCAAATGGCCCTCCGGCGGGTATTTTCGCAGGATTCCGATTTCAAAGAGAGCATGTTTGCTCGACAGATTGCAGTCATGAAGGGGCAAGCCTGGAACGTAGTGGAAACGCTGAAGCACCCCGATCATGGGCCGCTGGAGTTGACACGACGGACGCGTGTGTGCGTCTGGGATGACTTGGTGGATGTTCCAGTCGCGATCCCCCTCCGCGGGCCGTCCACTGATGCGCAGAAACGGAAGGTGAAGAGCTATGAACATTACGATAAACACGCCAGCTACGATCCCGACAACGAGGAGATGGACATTGGCGCCGCTATGTCCTTT